CACAGTGGGGCCAACTCACCCTCGAGCCAGAATCCCTGCACACTCAAAAGCACACCCCCATGCCTGTCAAGTCAGAGCAGCAGCGCCCAGAAGACCTGGGGCTGGATTGTCCACACGCAGCCAACGTGCAGGGCCTACGCCCAAGTACTTCCTGCCAACTGGGTTAGTCCAAGCCCCAAGCCCCTCCCTCTCCCAGCCCCACTGGGGGCTCCTGAGGGGCTGCATAGACTGGTCTAAGGTCATGCAGAGGAAACCTGCACCAGGAGGGGGAAAGGGTCACACGCACCTCTTTTTTCTATAAGGGTAAGAAGAGAAGAAAGAGTGAAAAAGAAGCCGGAAAAAATCTCCACCCCGTTCTCCCCTACAGAAAGACCAGGAGAGGGTCTCTGCTCCCCACACAGAAGTACCTCTTTCAATCCTCGGTTTTTGATGTTGAGTTTTTTCGCGTTGACAAAATCAAACAGTTTCCCATACTCCTCCCTGTGAGGGGACATGCACCATGTTACCAGAGAGGTAGTGCCGACACAGGGGCGAACTAAACAACGTTCTGATTCCATGAGCTGGGGTAGACTGTGGAGCCTGGAGTTCCTGACCATGCTACCCAACCCAACAGCTTAGAGACCCCCAGAGGACAGCAGTAAGGCAGAGCCAGAGCCTGACATTAGTCCTGAAAGAGGAACCTGCATGGCTGTGAAGAGCTCTGGGAAAGAAAAGGCAGGGAGGGGCGCATCTGTTTACCAAATAAGCTCAGGGCGGAGTAAGTGTGGGGCAGGGGGTGTGGTCATCTGTCTTCATACTTCACAAGGATGATATGAGGATTACACGTGAAAATGCTTATAAAACGTTTAGCTCACAGTGAGCACCAAATAAGCATTAGCTGCTATGTTCTCAGGCACAAAACTCATTCCAGGAAAGAAAGAGATAGCATTTCCATTGTGGGGAGTGGAGGAGAAAAAAGGTCAGTAGTGAAGATATAGCTTTCAGAATACAGAAAAAGTTTTTTGTTGTTTTTTTTAAATGACCAGAAAGAAAGCAATGGAGAGGTTTCTAAAGTCTGAGCACTCCAGGGAAAATGACCAAATCCTGATGTAGCAGAAGAAAAATTCTGCTCTAGGGTTGGAGAGTGCCGCAAGCCATGCCGGGCTTCCTGGACAAAGCTGGCTCAGGACCAGGATGCCCAGAAAGTGACGGGTGGAGGTTCTCACCTCTCAATGCTGCTGAAGGTATACTGAGTGCCCTGCTTGGTCTCAATTTCAAAGTCAAAGGAACGAGTCGTAGTGGTACCACGAGCAAAGTTGACAAAGGAGATCTCGTCGAAGCGGATGTGTACAGGTGGCTTGTGGACGTAGATGAAGCCCCGCTCCAACGGGTACAGCAGTCCTGAGCTCGCCTTGTAGGAACAGGTAATGCACTGGGCCCCTGAGTGCCTGACAGAGGGTGCAGGGAGCCTGGTTAGTGCCAACCTCAGCAGAGGCAAAGGGCACATCTAGCAGCAGCGACATGTGTGCTCATGTCCTCGACTAAGTAAACCTCACTGAGCTGTTCTGACAGAGGCGCTGACACCTATTGTGACACAAGGTCCCATCCAGACCTGTAACAGGCTGCAATCCCATCTCAGGAGGGGTTTACCAAGGAGACACAGCATTTCCCATACCCAGGCAGGGCAGGATCCCAGGCCCACACTCTCACCCTTGGAAGTTGCCTGGCACTGTGATCTTGCGGTTCACCAGCGCTTTCATGACCCGGCTGACCATCTCATAGAGGGATCCTGACATGTTCTTGGTGAGACGACCCTCGAAGCGCTTCTCCACTTCTTCCCTACAAAGACAGCAAGGTGAGGTCACAACACTACTGCCTTCTAATGGCACACCTGTCTCCGGCCTGGACAGTGGCAGGAAACGAGTCCAGGGAGACACTCACTCGTTCATGTTCAGAGTCAACGAAATGTCCTCGTCCTTGGAGAAGAGGAGGATCAGGAAGTGGTAGCGAGTTTGGCCTTGCTTGATTGGGGGGTCCAGGCTGATCTAGTAAGGAAGAGCACCAATTGATACTCTACAACAACTTGCGATTCACTAACATAGAATTCTGCACACCAGTGAGGTCCGTCTACTTAACACGCAAAAACCACGATTATCCGGCCATAGGGGTTTCGGCTTACCACAAAGAACATCTGTCGCTGGTCCTTGTGGGGTAACAAAAACAGACGCAGTACTGTGGTGTAGGGGATCTTGTAGTCAAAGGTCTTGCCATGCAGGTGCAGAAAGGTGGGGTAGATCCGAATGTCGTAACGACCTCGAGGAGTCAGACACTGCAGCTCCCGGAAGATGCAGATGGCATCTCCCGTGGCCTGGATTACATCCGCCTTCGACAACACATTCTGGGCAAAGGCCTGCAAAAAGCACACATTGGTAACCAAGCAGCAGGCCCTGCTGCTCCCAGGCCAGCCAATGCCTGCTCAGCACCATCTGCTGCCAAGGCAACCAGGGGACGCCTCACCTCAACAGGGTCCACACCATCCTCCTGGGTGGGAGGGACATAAAAGCGGACCTCCATGAGAGACACCTCTGCATCATCGTTTTGGTGGAATTCCAGTGTCACCTCATTCTTGCCAGTGGTGCACTGGGACACATTGCTGAGGGGTATCTCAAAGACTGGCTGGTCACCAATGTCAAAGGAAAGCAGCTGCCCTGTGAGGAAAGGGCTTGTCAAGCCACAAGCTCCTCCCCTTAAGTCTGCATAAGCAACATTCCCACCAAACTTGAGTTCCACAGAGACAGGATACTGGGGTTAGTCTCTTTACACTGTAACCCCAACCCCAGTCACAGTGCCCAGTAAACTGTAGGTACTCAATAAACACACGATGAACATGCAAACAGATAGGAAACCAGAGACAGTGGCAGAAGGAAAAGAGCAAAACAAGTAAAAGGCTGAAGCCCTTCACCCTATCTTCCTCCCCAAACCTCAGTCTTCCCCAGGACTCACCACCAAATTTCACTGTCCCCCAGTTCCAGCCCTTCACACAAAGGTCCTTCTCCATTAGCTCAAGGCGATAGTGAGTTTTGAAGAAATCAGAGAGTTTCTCAAACTCCTGTGGGTGGAGGGAAGAAAACGCAATCCCAGTAAACCCTGGTGGCCTTAACACCGACTTGAATGTCCTGGGATTATCTATTTCTGAGAAACTGTCCCAAATAGGCTTTATAAGAAACTCATGCTGCTGGGCGTGGTGGCTCACGCCTGTAATCCCAGCACTTTGGGAGGCCGAGGCGGGAGGATCACGAGGTCAGGAGATTGAGACCATCCTGGTTAACACGGTGAAACCCCGTCTCTATTAAAAATACAAAAAGTTAGCCGGGCGAGGTGGTGGGCGCCTGTAGTCCCAGCTACTCGGGAGGCTAAGGCAGGAGAATGGCGTGAACCCAGGAGGCAGAGCTTGCAGTGAGCCGAGATTGCGCCACTGCACTCGAGCCTGGGCAAGACTCCGTCACAAAAAAAAAAAGCAGAGCAAGACTCCGTCACAAAAAAAAAAAAAAAAAAAAACTCATGCTGACTTAGCAACCCAGCTCTAACATTGTTTAAAAGATGGTTTAGAGAGGTTGCTTCTAGCCACTGGATCTGACATTCCTGGTTATGGGCCATCTGATTTTATAAACTTTGTATAGGTATTACTTTAATGAAAGTGGAAATTAAAATCAAATAAAGCCTTTAACTCAAGCAGTTGAAAATGGAAAACAAAACCCACACTTTAAGACATCAAGCTAGCCAGGAGCAATGGCTCATGCCTGTAATCTCAACGCTTTGGGAGGCCAAGGTGGGCGATCCCTTGAGTCTGAGAGCTCAAGACCAGACTGGGTAACGTGGCGAAACCCCGTTTCTACCAAAAATTATGAAAAATCAGCTGGGCATGGTGGCATGTGCCTGTGGTACCAGATATTCAGGAGGCTGAGGTGGAAGGATTACTTGAACTCAGGAGGCAGAGGCTGCAGTGAGCCGAGATTGCGCCACTGCACTCCAGCCTGGGTGACAGAGCGAGGCCCTGTCTCAAAAAAAAAAAAAAAAACCACAAAAAGACATCAAGCTAAGATCCTGAACCTTGATAAAAGTCACAGGTAGAAACTAGTATCTAAATCAAGACAGAAGAAAATCTTCTGGAGTCAAGGCACACAGAAATTCACAAGACTTCAACACTCAAAGCCAAACACTGATTGCCTCATGGCTTCACAGTCCTGCTCTAAGGAGCCCAAACTAGCAATCACAGGGTTACATGAGGAAGGAACCTCGAGTCTCTAGAAGACTAAAACAAGATGATGCAGTAAAAAGGGGGTTTATAGCTATGGGACAGCTCACCGATTCTCGGAAGCCATCATACTTGTAGACATGGCCATTCTTTGTAAGCAGTTTAAGTCCATGGCCCAGAGCAACACGGCGCCAGATGCCTTCTGTTAACTCCCCAGCCTGGATGTTGTCCACTTTCCCCGTCTTGCTGTTCTTGAAGATGATGCCCTGGCGGCTCAGCCTCAGTCGACCATCATTCTGTAAGAAAAGCAGGCCCAGATGCATGGGGACAGTACACAGCATGTCCTGGGTACAGTTCTACCCAACACACTTTCCAGCTGCGAGTGGGCTGGCCAGATTGTCAATGCAGGAGCAACAGCTGAGGTGCAAGGAGTCTAGATTCCAAACCAGGCTCTGGTATTTAGAATCCTTAACAGATTCTCAGTTTCCTCATTTGTAAAACAGGAATTGGGAACTGAAGAGCATATACGGTCCCTATAACTCTGAGACTGTCTCTCAGTATTGCCTCGTGTTGGGGGAGACACTAGGTACACGTTATACTGAGTCCTCTTTTTCCAAAATAACATTACCAAAGCAAGCTCTCGTTAATGGACAAAAACTCTACCCTCCTTCCTTCTCTCTACTTGTATCAACTGCCCAAGCCATTCTCACCATGGAGCCTTTCACCTCCTGATAGATGTCGTTGAACTCCAGTGTCTCTGCCATGTCGACCCCTGCCTGTGGTGGCCTGGGCAGAGCCCCAGGCTGCACAAGGGAAACCGAGTAAACTGGGGGCTGGGCCCCAACTCCTGAGTGGGTGGGCGGATGCTCAGCAGGTTGGGAATCTAAATTCAAAAGGAAGACAGATAAGCACGAAAGACAGCACCTCGCTGTGCTCACGGATGGAGCACAGCAGCAACTCCCAACTGCGCCTGGGATGTCTCAGGATTTCCTCTGCCTGGAAACCTACAGACGGACGCTGCAGCGCTCGAGGGTCCAGGCCTAAGCCCAGGTGGAGAAGCGGGCCTGGAATACCGCTGACACCCAACCCGACGCCCGCTCTAGCCGCTCTGGCGGGAGCCATGGCAACGAGCAGCGGAACCCCAGGGTCAGCCCGGAGCCCGCACCTCGCACGCGCCCCAATCCAGCTCAGAGTGCAGGGTTTCCCTCGCAGCGCTCCCACCACCCCGCGGGCCTCCGGTTCACCCCCGCCCCACAGGATGGATTCGCCCGCTCCCCGCGGTTTCGAACGCGGAATGGTCCATGTCGAGCGTCCCTTGGGGGAGGGGCGCCCCTGCCTTCCTGGGACCGGGGAACGACCACCACCTACCTCCTCAGGCTGCAGCCTCGCGAGGGCCCCGGCGCAGGAGGTGGGCGCGCTGG